TCTGCCTATCAACGAATTGATAACCCAATACTGGTGGCAGGCATCATTACGGGAAACTTAACTGATCTATGAGCCATATTAAAACCGCTCACCAGGTTCTTTCTTTAAAACGTCAAATTTAAATAATATTTTCTAAAATGTCCTAATGAGCCGATTGCTTGTGTATAAACCTATTTTGTGCACCTGCAAGGCTGTTTCTAAACTTGCCTCCTCCCCAGTATTACTTTACTTCGCACGCCCGCGAATTATGCGCGCAAACGTCGTGCACCTAAACGCGTAGTCGCAGTGCTCAGCTTTCAAGGTATTTGCTTTATTAAGAGACAAATCACTCCGTGGAGGAAAAACAACTTAAGATGTCGACTTGAAACATTTATGTTAATAATTCATCCAGCCTTCTCCTGATTCACACTTGTTATCGGACAAGATCGGAATCGTTCTTTTCCAGGCCATCTTCAAACATACGCTTGACACCAGTTTCCCCGCGCGCGATGCGGAGGGAACACACGAAGGCATTTTCCACCTATCGCGCAGGTGAGTCAGCAGGGGCGAGGTCCAGGCCGTAAGGTGGGTGTTCCAGCACCGCATGCAGAAGTTCTGCTCAAGACTTCTGCCATACAAGTGCAACGTTGGGGCGCGCAGTGTCATGACCCCCTTGTTCAGGATACTTGGGTACTTTGCCTGTATTGACTGTGAAGGCTGGTTTCATTAAGTGTGAGTAGTATGTGGCCGCGAAAGCTTGGTTGGCTATGGCTTGGTGCACTACTTGAATTTCCCCATTTCTACAACAAATGTGCATGGCCTTACTTCACGACCAGCGGCCGATCTCGGTCGGTGCATTTTCTTAGAGCGCGATCGAACTGCAGTGAGCATACGTTCTTCGGTTCTGTTTTTCTCCATTTGGTCATAAATGATCATGGCATGACTCACCGCCGGTGATGAAACGATCTACGAAATGTTTGCCCTCTCGTGCATGTATTGCAAAAGGTTTCTTCGAAAAATCGACACGGGCCTTCATCTGTCCGCCCTTCACTTTGTAAGGGCATCCACTTTGCAAAGACTTTCGCCATCAATGGTCAATCACATAGGCTGGTCCAAACAAAACTGGTTGAGATTCCAGCCTTTTCTATCTAAGCGCGAATACAAGCTCATTTATCTTCCGTTGATAACATGTGAACCAGTACGACATCGTTACCGACGGACAGCCGTCGGTTTCGGCCCGCGCCTTTGTGGCTGCGCGCCGTTCGTCCATTTTTGAATCTATCCATACACTATGAACCAGTGCGACATTGTTATCAACGGGCAGCCATCGGTTTCGGCTAACGTCTTTGTGGCTGCACGTCGTTCGTCCATTTTTGAATCTATCCATCCACTGTAAATCAGTGCGACGTTGTTATCAACGGGCAGCCATCGGTTTCGGTTAACGTCTTTGTGACTGCACGCCGTTCGTCCATTCTTGAATCTATCAATCCACTTACAGATGTCCGCTTTGTTTATGGATGTTTCGCCATAGAATTTGTGGATGCGCAACACGGTGTTAAAAGACTAGAAGCTCCTAAGACATGAAGTTGATCGTTGGAGGCGTTTCTGTGCGACCATAGTTGTGGTCTCCCCGATCCGTGCTGTTGCATTTATCAGCTGATTCCTGTGACAGACAAGGTACAGATAAACAGCCGAAAGAGTAGGCATTGTTGCCGAGATACTTTGCTTGGGAGCATCACGTGAGGGAGCACGTATCAAAGTTTTATGTTTTTGATTCCCATCTCGAGAGTCGCATTTCGCCATAAGCCGTTTTGTCATAAAGTAAACAGCCTAATACCATCCGATGAAGGTAGAACAATGCAACGTGACTTACGGACCAGCAAAATGCACGCACAAGGTTGCAGAATATGCAGGATATGGATAAGCCGTTTATGACAATGGTTAACTCAGAAAATCACTTACGGTATACTGTGTTGTGATCATCCCGCCCGTTGTGAAAGTCCCTTGGTGACTGCAAAAGGAACTTTAAGCGCATATCCTTACGAAGAACTTGAGCCATATCCACGTCATATTTTCTTTGATTTTGAACGCAAATGTTTGATACTCAGCATGTTGAAAGAAATTTACCGGCCGGAAGCTGAGCGATGGAAGCAATTCTGTTTTTCTTTTTCTTTTTTGTCAGCGGTGTTAAAGTTGTGCCGCCATTTTATGTAATATGAACGTGCAGTGACGGTGTTCTTGAATAATTTTATAGAACAATCAAAGTCGGGAATGCAACGATGGAAACAAAAGATTTAAGGGGTTTTATCCCTTGCAAAGACGCTGAAAAATCCTCCGGTTTTATCTTTTAATAGATTTCCGAAGAACCAGGGAAGGAACCATGCGCTTTTTGCAATTCGTCCCTTTCAGGCTTGCGATGTGATAAGTCATAAAATAAACCTTTTGATATATCTCAATTCCTCGCACCCTACCTTAAGGTCTTGCATTAGCGCCCATGACACTTGAACTCTGCTGGGGTGTCATAGTCAATTTGTTCCTGATAAAGAACCTGTTTGAATCGTACGAACTAAAATCAACGCCATCATCGTCATGAAACATTCCCTGGGATCCTTTCCCGCCTTCTCTTTCTTCGCCTGCTTGCTCTCAACATTGAGCACACGGGCGGTGACAGGCTATCAGCCACCATAACTGTGGGCTAACTAGCAGTGATCTAACGTCAATAACAACATTAATTTTGCATGGCATTCCTTGTACGTTCACTACATTCACCTTGGACAAGTCGGTCCAATAGACGTTGTTTATGGTTACGTATGATATTCTTAATATTATGAAAACATTTCCATCGGGCAGCGACTTTCAGTAGAAGGACGTAGCTTGCCAATGCCCCTGGACAGGACTATGGTTTGCTCCGACACGCCTCCGATAAACGAAACCTGGAACTGCCCCGGGCCATGAAGACCGCCAAACTTTTGCTCCAAAATGTGGGATTGGCAGGAGGAAGATGTCTGAGACTTACGTATCACTTGCGTGTCGCAACTGCCTATTCTAGTACGTCGCTGCCGGATGCTAACGCGATTTCTCATACCAAATAAGGCCGCATTTTTGCAGCAAACCGTCAGCACTGTGCCCGATGTGCCTGTGCAAGCGCACGATGATCGACGGCACCCCATCCCATGCGCATCAAATGGACGTGGGTCCATACTGCATTCGACAGGCACGCCCATCGTCCCGGACAGCCGACACGCAAAACAATGCCGGAGGACTCGGTGATGAAGTCCGTGCCACCGTTCGAGGAACTTCTAACGGGTAAGAGGGTGACTCATGTGGCGAGTCCGCGGACAAAGCCCCTGTCGCGCGAGTCGCGTCCAGATTCCAGAGCCATCGCTTAGGCGTTGTTCTCGACTCGAACTGGGCGGCTGGGCGTGCAGTGTGTGTGCGGAGTTGGCACGCAGAGCGCGTGTGATTGGCACCAAGCGCACATCTCTGCAAACACGTGCCAGGCTCCCAGCAATGACGTTTTTGCCCCGCTTCCCGCTTCTGCACAAAATGCTTGCCGTTTGAATCCGGGGATGGTAACGCCTCTCTCTCGCTTCTGCAAGCTGGAAGTGCGTCAATGAAATTTGAATTTCAATGGTGCATGTTTAAAGGGAGTGTTGCACGTTTGTATGAGGTCGTGAACATCTTGGAGGCCTTTAGACGCTGTTCACAACCCTGTCTGTCTTAAGACCTAAGGCAATCTAGTTTCTGAGCCAAACGCCCGCGAAAATAGAAGAATGTATATCGGGAAAAGTTTTTCAAAGTCACTTTGGCATTTATGACATCATAATAACGTAATTCAAATCCTGCCATTCCACAAGCCATGCGGCGATCAAGGCCAATAAAATACAGTTGCCCAGGCGTTCAAACCTGGCGCTCGTGAGCGCGATTTCCAGGCATAGAGGCCGTCAATTGGCTCTCAATCAATGCTGTGCAAGGTGCGATGGCGTAATCAAACCATTGCACATTGAGGAACATATTTATAAAACAGGGAATTGTGATGTCTAGAGCAGCCTTTTTCACTTCAAAAGTATACCAATAGTTGTAAGTAAGCTTGTTTCATCACACCTGATATTTGCTTCAATGTCTTCAAATGTGAAACACGCCCTTTAAGAATAGCAGCGCATCATGTCTGCAAAATTTCTCGCTATATTTCAGACCAAGCATCTTTTTCAAAAACTTGTAGAAATCCCACTTACGTGGCCTCAGAAAAGTCCCTGGTTCTTCCAATGGTCGTTTCTATGCATCATGCGCCGACACAATTGTAACATGGGCTGAACTAAAATCTATCGATTAATGACGATGTCTCGTCAGTTGTGCTAGCACACGATGTTCACATGTTCGGGGCCAACACTCACCACACTCTCCCATAATTATCCATTGCAGTGGCGTGCATCGCAACATTGTCACAGCTTAGTGAAGGGATACTTGCGTTTTTCCGATGGCAATCCCATGAAATGTTTGCAACGCTGTGTTCGAAGCCGGCTGCTGTAATAATGACTTGTGAAACACGCAGGCATGCATAGCGCGGTATAAAAGCAATGAAAACGTCTTCACTGCAATGCTTTCTCCGTTTTAACGCGTAATCTAGCCACGAAACACTCAGCGGGAAGCGAGCTCCGAGAACGAACGGTAAGCCGGCCAGACATCCAATCCTCAATACGGAAAGCGGCCCGATCGTGGCACAGCGAGCCACGCGCCCGACGTTCACTCCGCTCTCACCTCTGACCCCGGAGTGGCGCGGCAGGCCGGCACCCGTTGATAACAGCGGGCCGAAGCCGGCTACTTTGGCCGCTACCCGCCCGTGCGGCCTGTTTGCATTGGTTCGAACGGCTCGCGTCAAAAATTTACGCCTGATGCAGCCGGCCCGCGGCTGAGCCGGGAGCGTCGGGCGTCGTATCTGGCGCGGCTGCCAGGATCGTCTCCAGCTGCCACGCCCGAACAACACGTCGGGCGGCGCCGGCCGTACCTCCGGCCGCACCCACCTGCGATCAGCAATCCGGGCGGCGCTCCGATCTCGCTCCACGCGCTCTTCGCTCGCGGTGCACGCTCCCCACCGGCGCCACCTGAACTGCTGCTGGCGCCGCTGGGCCGCGCTAACCCCCCCCCCCCCCCCGCCCCCGCTCCCCTCGCCGGCTTCTCAAGGCCCGTCTGGCCAGGTCCGGCGGGCAGAGACGAGCTGGCGATCTGGCGGCGGCCGCAGCCAAGCGACTCTTCACCGGCTCTCCACGGTGGCCACGAGACGCGTGGGGGTCCGACCGCCGGCGGCGCTGCGCCATCCTCCGCACGGCGTGACGTCCTAGCGTGCTAATTACTGTTTTCCGGACGGGAAGCTACCCCCGAAGACAATCGCGTGCCGTGTGGTGACTAGATTTTCGCAGACGATGGCTTCAGCGCTCTCGGGTTTTTAGCTGCGTTTCGTCGAGCCTTTGTTGTGGAAAGAGGCTGGGGATACGGAAGTCACGTCTTAGCCGTGCATCGCTCGGAGGACAGTAGGAAGGCTTAGCTTTTTTTGAAGAACCAGATATTGTGCGCCGTGGAATGCCTACGTTCGCTGATACCCGACTCCCTACAATCGGTCTACGCGACGATCGCGGATAGCTGGGTCTGCATAACCGATGTTTTTATATATCGTATGTAAATGCGACATGGTGGTTAGCAGGCTGGTGAGCGTGCCGTTTTTGTACATGCATCAGCTCGTGGTATTTTCTGTGCATTTTAACGCCCTTATCTTTCCCATACGCACGGGTTAAAGCGATTTGCGCTAAGAGTTTTCTGGTGGTGAGCCGTTTTTTCAAGAGCTTTTGAGAGCTGAACGTCAAATAAAACTTAGATTCATTTTCCCGACATCGAGGTCAGTAATTGTGGCCCGTGCCTGCCGGACAGTTCTTGTGGTCCTGTCAGGCATAAGAAGCTTCACGTATTGGCCATTACCTCAGCTTTTAGCTTATGAAAAATGCGATATAAATGGATGCTCATTCTCGAGCACACGTTTTATCTCAGGATCGGTGACGCGCAAACCATTAACCCGCCTTACGTTGATGCTTACACCGAAATGGCGAATTGGCTCAGACGTGAACCTTGAACTCTAATGCACAAGTGCTCTTTTTGCGACCTTTTTGCCCACGTTCTAAACCCATCCCACGCCTCTTGAAACATGCATAAATGTGACCTGTAAATCATTGTTCACTCTCCAAAAGAAGTTAACGACTTACGTGGGAGTTTCCTTTGCATGGGCGTCCACGTTCTTTGAGAACGTGTGCCATTCTTTTAGCATCATTAAACAGCTAAAACAGAAAGCTATGACGTCATCGAAATAAAACACTCGGAAACAACATGCAACCCTATCGGCATCACATCAAAAGTTTGCGACATGTGTCTGGTGGCAACGGCATCAGCGAAACGTTCGCAATCTTTGCATTCACTGGTCAGCTTTGTGCATGCTTAACGCCTAGTTCCTGTCCAAGCGTCACCTGATCTGTATGAACACCCGTTAGTATCCACGTTCCACGATGTTCCACGACCCTTATGATGCCCGACTGTCGCACAGGTTCCAATGGCTCTGCAAGAGGCGACCGCTCGTAATTGTCATCAGATCCAGTTAAACCCGCATCCGCTAGCGCAACCGGCCATTCATGGCAATTGGGCAACCGACCACTACTGGTGGCCGGAGAAAGGCGCAGGTTTTCTGCCGCCTCAGCCGCGCCACGCTCGTGACACGGGCCATGAGCGGCGAGACGGCCCATTTGGCGGCTTGGGAGTGGCGCCCGGACCTTACCCTGCGCACCAGCCGCGTGGCGGTCGTCTGGCGGCGTGCGCCGCATATGCCACCTGCGCGGCGTGCGCGGCGGCCGCCTGCTGACGAAGGCCCGAGACCTCAGGTTCTGCAGAGCCCAGTCGGCGCCTGCCCCCCCCCCCCCCCCCCCCGTCAGAGGCGACGCGGCTGACGCGGCAGTCGGCCGACACATTCGTATGCGCCGGGGCAGCTGACGGCCTGTCGGCGCCAATCACGGCGCCAGGACCGGAGACATTCACGGCGCGCCGCCGGCACTCGCGGCGCACCAGCAATCTGCATCGGAGCGCCCGCCGGCGCGACCGCAGCGCCCCCCCCCCCCCTCCCCCCAGCTGACCCGGCCGTAACCCCGCGACGCCGTGCACGCGGACGGACTCTGCGTGACCGACGGTCGCCGACTCCCTGCCGAGCGCGGCGATGAGTCGGTGACCGGTCAGGTCGAAGAGGGGTGGCGTGTGACCGTTCGTGATTGAGGCGTGATCTCCGCGGTGTTGGGGTCACTTGTCACCGATTCGTGACGCCGCTGGATGATCCGTGCCGTAGCAGGGTGGGATGGTCTGATTCATGACGGAGTTTGTGAGTGGCGTATGGATCAGCTTCGGCAAAGCGGTCGTGCTCTATTATCACGCGATATCACGCGATATCTTTGACAACTGCACGCGCAGCACGAAACTCAGGCTTCCGAAGACGAAAAAGTAGCGGGTGATTTATCGAGGTAAAAAAAAATATGTCCGGCCGTCTGCGTCTGTAGAAAGATCTAACTGATTGCGAAACTTAACCTCGTCCATCTGGTGCCTCCAAATGAAAGCGCCAGTTAGTGGTCGATTTAACCACTGGGTCACATTGTTAGCTCACTCACCGTATCAACCACACAAAAGGCGCAAATGCGTGGGCGCTAAAACTCCGCCTTGTGTCCAATCCTTTCTCAATAGGAGCCTAACTGTCCGCCCAAGCGTACGACTTTCATGAAGCAATTTTACAACCTACACCATGTTTTAATCTCACCACGTGCGTAGATGAACCCCAAAAGGCCAACGCAGCTTATCCCTATCCAATAGATAACTGATAGGATATTAAGGAAGGTCTCAAATAAACAGCACAGCTCATAAGTTCATGGCGAGTAACTACGTCCATGCCATGCGCAATGTCGGACCCAGCTTGCAGTTCCGATTTATGACACTGGCCCTCATCCGCAAAACGAGCCAGATGCCGCCGTGGGCTCTGCACATTGCCACCGGCCGCGCCAACCGACGACGTAACGGGCCGACCGCAGATGACCGAGCTGGACCCCGGCTGGTGGGGTCCACTTGCACACGCGCCGGCCGCCGCGGGTTAGTAGGAGACGCAACGTCTTGGGCCCGCGGGATTGCGACGGGTCTAAATTGCGGCACGGCGTGTCCGCAGTGCGACCTAAGGTAAAGGAGTTCGCGCGCAGGTGGTGCCCAAAGAAACCACTGACAAAAATTTGACTTTCAGTTTTGAGACAAAACAGATGCTATCAAAAAAGCAAGCCCTCACGTTTATGAAAGCGTTCAGAATTTTAGATAGGCGTTTACAATATTATTATACAGCAATTAAGACTGGCAAGTGGCAAAAAAGGGAGCATAGTTTATCCAGATCCAGGAAAAGCAGACGGAAAATGCTCTTCTGCAACATCATTGCCTTTTGCCTTCACCTTCACAACTCCACTAATCGGTTAGTCGGTGAAAGGAGCGAGACTTTAGGGAAGTTGCTTGCCGGTCTTAGTTTTTGGAATTAATGCGTTTAAAACTTCACCTTTCATCTGTGTGCAGATTTTCAGGTCAATAAAAAGTACGCCGCCGGACGAATTGCGATCCGAGTTTGAATCTGGGTATGTTGCAAACTTGACGAACGTACTTGACATGGCAATATCACCTAAAACTTGTCCCCGCCCCCCCCCCCCCCCCCCCCCCATAAGGAGCTTTGCATTTCAGTCGCTCATGGTATTTGAGAGATATTTTAGTTTTTTTGTTATTCTTATTTTGTGACTCAAAACATTCTGACCAGGTGGAGTAAGGGACGGCTTACACGGTGCATTAATACATAAAACGCTGCCATGTGTGTCCGAGGGTTCCTATTTTTTAGGCAAAAAAAGGTAAAGCTGAATGCTAAAATCATCCCACTCAGGCACGATAAAGGACGCTGATAACTGTTTAGTTATCTTTTTGTGTGGTGAGACCACCATGGAAATGTCATGTTCAAGTCACTGAGCTTGTCTTGAGTGAATATGGACCAAAAAAACGCATTTTTTGGCCACGCAGCTTGGTGTAGCAGGTGATGCAAAGTGAAGGCTATCACATGAATTATAAATCGTGAACACGCAATTGACATCAAATGGCGCAAATGCCATTATCTTGGTGATAGATGAAAGTAGCGAAGGCAATTAAAATTGAGACTTGAGGCCATACATCGTCGTGTAGTAAACCACCGGGACAAATTCCTGAAATACACGCGAAAGGTTTTATTCGCGTATTGTTAAATGCTAATAAGCAATTACACCACCGAGGGAATAATTGTTTGGACTATCGTCCTGGTATGGAGCGTGAATATGTTTACAACGTTCTGGCCGGTCAGTTATTTGGCCGGGTTCAGGTGTTTCTGATTACTGAGAGGTACGGGATGGTGTTTAGCTTTCAGATATTATGCGTCACAACCAGATTTTTTCTTGGAATGACTAGAATTCGAAATAGGGTCTTCGGACCACAAGTCCAGCGTTCTGTCATTGGGTTCACCGAGCGGGACATTGTGAAACGCTGTACGCATACTAACACAACAAGGACAATTGTTAGGACAATAGTCCAAACAATAAATCGGTCTCTCGGTGACACTAATACCTCGTCCCGATCACTCCGAGAACCAGAGATAAGTAGGTATCGTGCTGCGTGTTTTGACTACATATTTTGAATAGGTGCGAAATTTGTCTGAAACTACACTCACACCACCCAAGTTTGCTCCTTGGTGTCAAACTCCAGGACATGGAGAAGCGGACGATGATTTGTGAATGCTTCGCTCGGGGGGGGGGGGGGGCTCAAGCGAGAACAAGACTTTCTTGACGATCCCGGGTTCACTGATAGGCTCATTTCTGCTCAGCGGCCAAGTCAAATAAAAAACAGCATGTGCTGGGGAGAAGCAAACCCCGATAACTCAGCTCCACCCTTTCCGTAGGGAAGGGAACCGCATGGGCTGCTACGTCTATGCATGCTTTTGGAGGATCACTGTGGTTCGAGGAAGGTGACGGCAGCGCGG